TATTTCAGCAATCTCTCTTGCTCTGAAAAGGGAAGTGAGTACAGTGGCACCTGGATTAACGAGCGGCTCTATCTACGCGCATTTCGAGTAACGAGCAAGCCACTCGCAGAACATTTGTCTCTACTAACCAGCGTTTCCTCGATTAACGAGCGTTTCCGCTGGTTCTCGGACACCTTTTACGACAGTTTTGTTGTTGTTTCCCAAGACGAGTTTTCCACACGATGAGCTCGGTGCCGGAACAGATTAAACTTGTTAATTGAGGTGCCACTGTACTGAGCAGTACTCAAGATGGGACAACGCAATCATTGTGATGGGATCCCTAGATTTGAAAGTTCTCGTAATCCATCCGATCATTTTTCTGGCTGACGCAATATTTGCTTGGTTATGCTCCCTAAACGTTAGGTTGTCAGACATCATTATTCCAAAATCCTTTACATGCTGTTTTCTTACTATGGGCACATTTGATTGTGTTGTGTACCTTGTATTATGTTTAAGGTCCTCATTTTTACCGTATCTGAGTACCTGGAATTTATCACTGTTAAACATCATGTTATTTTCTGTTGCCCAGTCAAAAACTTTATAAATGTAAGCTTGAATCAAATCAAATCAAATCAAATGTTTATTTAGGTAAGGTACATACATACAAGAGATTTTACAAAGAGTGATGGATTTATGTATAGGGCTAGTACATACAATGCCTAAAGCCACTATTACGCAAAGCGTTTCGGGCATGAAAAACTTAAATGACTAAAGCTTAATACTAATTGAGCATAAAGAGTAAAATGAAAACATGGAATGAAAACATAGCTGAAAAAGCAGCACAAATACAATTCTGTCGACAAACAGCGCTCTTTAAAAAAAAACCCAGACATTGGATGACAATAGAGGGGTAAGGTAGGTTATAGGGAATTTATTAGTTATAGCTTCGTTTTTATCTTAAACTGGTTGAGAGAGGTACAGTCTTTAACATGGTTGGGAAGGTCATTCCACAATCTGGGTCCCTTGATTTGTAGAGCATTTCTAGTTTGATTAAGTCGTACTCTAGGAATATCAAAACTATTTATTTCTGGTGTGGTGCTCATGGGTTCTGTTACAACCTTCTATGAAGCTTTTGAGGTCAGGATTGGCATTACAGTTTAGCATTTTATATATGTATAATACACATGAGAGAATGTGCAGTGACTTAATGTCTAACATATTCCGAGATTTGAGTAGGGGTACCGAGTGATGTCTGGGACCAGAGTTGGATATTGTCCTAATAGCAGCTTTGTGTTGAGTAATTAGAGGACGTAAATGATTTTGGGTAGTAGAGCCCCAAGCACAAATACCATAGTTGAGATATGGATAGATAAGGGAGTAATAGAGAGTCACCAGGGCAGGGCGGGGTACATAATATCTGATCTTAGAAAGAATGCCAACAGTTTTTGAAACTTTTTTTGATATATTTAGAATGTGTCCCTGGAAATTCAGCTTGTGGTCAATGAGAATGCCAAGGAATTTGGCATATAATTTGTTACAAATTTGGGTATTGTTTATTTTGAGATTTATTTGATTAGAGGATTTATTGCCAAACAGAATTAGAAAGTTTTGTCAATGTTAAGGGTGAGTTTGTTGGCAGTTAGCCAAAGATGGACTTTATTTAGCTCAGTATTTACTGTGGCATTTAGAGCAAGGGGGTCAGGACTGGAGTAAATGAAGGTTGTGTCGTCAGCAAATAGAATTTGTTTGAGGTGTTGGGAGGCATTTGGAAGGTCATTAATGTAGATGAGAAAGATGAGAGGGCCAAGTATGCTGCCCTGAGGAACACCAATGTTGATGGGTAGGGTGGGAGAAATTGAATTATTCACAGAAACATACTGGAGCCTGTCAGTAAGGTAGGATTTGAGGTATAGCAGGGAGTGTCCTCTGACTCCATAATGATGTAATTTAAGAAGGTTTTGGTGGTTGACAGTGTCAAAAGCTTTACGCAGGTCCACAAATAACCCAACAGGGAACTCATTTTTATCAAGAGCTGTATGAATCGAGTTAAGCATACTAATAAGTGCATCATTAGTGCTTTTTTTGGGTCTGAAGCCATATTGGCAAGGGCTAAGTATATTGTGTTTGGCTAGATAAGAGTAAAGCTGCTTATAGATTAGTTTTTCAAAATTTTTTGACAAGTTTGGCAGGATTGATATAGGTCTGTAGTTGTTAACATCTGTGAGATCACCACATTTGTGGACAGGCTCTTGCTTTTTTTAGAATACAGTATCTGGAAAGGTTTGGAGTTCAAGTGACTTGTTGAAGAGCAATGCAATAGCAGGGGCTAAAGATCTGGAGGCTTTTTTGTAAATTAAAGTTGGTATCTCCTCAAGGGCACTAGACTTGGTTTTAAGGGAAAGGATTATCTCATTGACGTCAGTGGAATTAATAGGCTGAAGTTTTTCAATGTCTTCAGCCAAGGTAATTTTCATACTGATTTTTGTGTCATCTGCAAAGGATGATACGAAACTGTGACTTGTATTTTTTACTATATCTGATATGAGAATAAGGAAAAGCAGCGGTGCAAGGACTGTACCTTGAGGTACAGAGCTTTTAACTGCGCTTGGACTCGATTTTATATGGTTGACTGTTACTCGCCGAGTCCTGTTTGACAGAAAACTGAGTATCCAGCGTCCTACTTTACCGGTTACTCTATTCCCATTGACTTCATTTTGTGTGCTATCACTCCATGGTCACATTTATCAAAAGCCTTTGTGAAGTTCGTGTATATCACATCAGCATTCTGTTTTTCTTCTAATGCCTCAGTGACTTTGTCATATTGATCAAGTAGCTGTGAGAGGCACGAACTTCCCGCTCAATTCAGTCATGTAGTCAAATACCAGAACACAAGGGTGCTTGCTTGTAGTGGTATTTCATGCTCTTAAGTTCTCAATGCCTTCCTCGTTCTGGGTAATGATCAGGTCTGTCCTGTCTTCCCAGGATTCTTTGTTATGTAACTTTGAAACTACTGACAGTTTTGGCCTCTACCACCTTCTCACTTAACTTGTTCCAACCATCTACCATTCTTGCAGCACCCAAGGTGAAACTCCATCTGGTCCAATTGCATTATTTCTTCCTAGCTCCTCGAGTAATTTTTCCACTTCATCTTGAGATACCTCTATGTATTCATGCAAGTTACACTAAAAGTGAGTATAATGTAGCAGTGTGCAGGAGAAATTTTTTTTGTAGTGCTCATGTTAGAAGTTGACGAGGAAGTCTGGTAACGGTATAGGCAGAAATGTGGCGAATTAAAGAAACCAGTGCCAGGATGGCTGATTAGGGAAAAGTCAAGCATTTTCAGAAACAAATGAAAGTTTGTGATAATTGTGCATACAGTGATGGATGGCTAAGGGATTTAATGTTCGTCATGGTATTTGGAGTGTAAAATTACAAGGTGAAAAGCATTTGCTGATGAAAAAGGTGCTGAGGAATACGTATCAAAATTTGAGGAGATTGTGCATGACGATTCTTTATCTTCTATGCAAATTTATAACCCCGACAAAACAAGCTTGTATTGGCGTGTGTTGAATGGTTATACCTGTACATACACTCATCAAGAGTGAATGTGATGATTCAGCTGAGTTCAAGGCAAAACAAGAAAGTCTCTGTACTTGTTTGTGCAAATGCAGCTGGCGCACACAAATTAAAATTACTCGTTATGGGCAAAAGTGAAAATGGCATAATATAATGTAATGACATAATTGAACAATTCTGGTTTAATAACTGTAAAAGTCCCTGAGGAGTGTTTGGTACTGGTACAGTTAAGCCTGGTGTTCCAGTAAAACTGTCTACAAATGGTGCAGTGTTGTCAGTACACTAGGTTTCCCCCAGAACATGGGGGTACGTTGGGTACGAGTGGTATGCCCAGTACGAGTTCTAATAGCAGGTCCTGCACGAGTGGCGGTATCTAGATCATCATCATCACTCCCCTCACTTTCAATTTCATTCTCACCTGCTGTTTAAGTTTCAACCACCTCATTATCTACATCACTGTCACTTTTGGCACTTTCAAGATCAGAAAATTCTTAAACTAAAGCCTGGAATTTTGTTGGTATGAGTTGTACAAAGTACTTTGCTGTACTTTTTTGTACTTTGCTGTACTTTTGGCGAACGCTAATTAGCTTCTCCCTCAGATGTGTTTCTTTTCCTGCTTTTGTCCTGGAATGGCTCTGTTCTTGATCACTATCCATCTTGTAGTAAATGTAGTGTATAAATGAAAGAGTAAAGAGTGTATAAAGGCAGTAGCAAATATAGCTGAGGAATAATTGCGGAACGGACACGCGTTGGATGTGAGGGGAGGCTGCAGCGGTCACGAGAGTAGACACTATAACAATGGTCGCATCACGTGGCAGGCGGGTCCAGGTGGCATCACTCTGTGATGCCACCTGGACCATCACAGAGAATGGGAAGACATTGGCACACATTTTAAAACACATCCCATAATGATTGGAAAAAAAAACGAATTTTAACATATATTTTAATTTTGGATGCAAAAATCATCACCGCCAGACATTCGTAGAGTTATTTATGGACACAATATCCGTCACCGATGACCGAAAGTGTTAACAAATGGAATGCATTAGGCAGTGATGTGGTGGAGGAAGACTCCATACACAGTTTCAAATGTAGATATGATAGAGCCCAATAGGCTCAGGAATCTGTGCACTAGTTGACTGACAGTTGAGAGGTGGGACCAAAGAGCCGAAGCTCAACCCCTTCAAGCTCAACTAGGTGAGTACACACAGTGTTCAATAGATAATAGTGCTTACCTAGTAAGAAATTTTAAATAAATTAAATGCTTTAATTCAGATTAAACTGATATACAGTCTGATATCTTCATTTTGTTTATCAGTGATATGGATTGCCTTCACTGCTGACTAGACTGATAAATGTGATTGACGTCACTAAATTTAATTTGCCATTTAATACGTTAGCATCATTGATGGCATCATCTTTCATGTTCACAGAATTCCAAGACCTCAACCATTAAGACTATGACACCAACACCAAAAACATCTGTCTCTGCCGAATATGAAAAGGCATTGCTGAAGAGAAGAGCAAAGGACAGTTTTAGCAGACAACATGCCACTGATGAAGGCCTTGAAATACGGAAATTGATGATGAATGTGGAACACAAGAATGATGAAGATAAGGTACAGAAGATGTCCCTTGGCCAGAAGACCAATAGGCCAACCAAGGTGATACTCTTGGTGGGGGCCACAGGTACTGGTAAGACAACTCTCATCAATGCCATGGTGAACTTCATTTACCGCATTGACTTTGCTGACAACTTCAGACTAATTCTTATTGATGATAAAAATGCTCCCAAGCGTTCCCAAGCCGAAAGTCAGACAGATCTGATCACAGCTTATGCATTTTATCAATTACCAGGAATGCCATTTGAGTACAATTATGTGCTCATTGACACTCCAGGCTTTGGGGACACCAGAGGCATTCAGCATGATCGTGAAATGATGAAACAGCTTGAAATGTTCCTGAAACAAGATTACGGGATTGATCAGGTTGATGGAGTTGGTTTTGTTACTCCTGCTTCTGCTGCACGATTGACTCAAACACAGAGATATGTATATGATGGCCTTTCTTCAATGTTTGGTAAAGATATTAAAGACAATATATATGTTATGGCAACATTTGCAGATGCAAAGGCTCCTCCAGTATTGGATGCACTTGAAAAAGCTGGTGTTAATTTCTCCGGATTTTACAAATTTAACAACAGTGCTCTGTATGCTCGTAACACTGGTGGAAGTGGAGGAAGTGATGATTCCGATTCAGATAATGATGATTCTGCTTACATATGTAAGTTATTTTGGGAGATGGGTTACCGAAGCATGACCAACTTCTTTTTAAAGTTGGGAAAGGCTTTTCCAGCAAGTCTGACACTTACCAAGGAGGTTCTTGAGGAACGAAGTCGCCTACAGTTAGTAGTAATTGGTTTACAGAATCAGATTCATTTAGGTTTAGGCAAGCTAACATGTTTAAACCAAGAGAGAGAAATGTTGGCATACCTTCATGATGACATGAAAGGAAGTGCAAATAATCAGGAAGAAGTTGAGGTTCCTAAGATTACTAAGATTGACCTGAATTCCCGGGAACATGTGACAAATTGTATAAAGTGCAACATGACTTGTCATTACCCATGTTATATTCCTGATGATGCTAACAAAGCCAGCTGCTGGGCAATGACATCAAACTACTGCAGGGTCTGTCCGGAGAAGTGTTACTGGAATCTTCATAAGAACATGAAGTTCAGGTATGAGCACACTTGGGTAAAAGAAACACGGACAGTCCAGGAACTTCTGGACCGCTATGAGAATGCTCAAAAAAGAAAACTTGACAAAGAAGGTGTGATCAAAGCGATTGAGAATGACATTAATGCCCATGCACAAATACTTATTGGAATGATAAGGGAAGCCCAGAATCATGTGGAACGATTAGAGGAAATTGCTCTCAAGCCAAACCCCATATCAACAAAAGAATACATAGATCTAATGATTGAATCTGAGAAGATGCAGAAGCGCCATAACTTCCAGAAGAGGATTGAGATGCTTGAAAAACTCAAAGATGAGGTCGCAATTATTCATGGAGTGTGTGGAAACTGTGATCAATCATCCGGTGAAGCCTTACTTAATTATTTCCACGGACTTATTATTGACTGAAATGAGAAGAAATGTCTGCTGTATAATTACAGTAAATGTTTCCTTAGATCATATTTTGATTTTTAAACCAAATAAAAATGATTGGATTATTTTTTAACCCTTAAACTGCTCCAGTTACTTAAAATCTGATGCTCTATTGTTTGGAGATGATTTAAGGTGCCCCATTTTCTTTTTAAATGCCTAATGCATTCCAGTGGTATGTCATTTGACACTAGGGACCATTTGACATATTTGGAAAAATTCTGATTCCATTGGTTTCCTTTCTGAGCCTTAGTAAAATGATGTGGACCATGTCTGGCACATCACCATCCAAACATACAGGGCAGTAATGCTAGGATCCATTTAACTTTTAACAACAGCAAATAAGTAATTACCTAAGTGTAATTACCTAAATGTAGTTACAGGATGAGAGTTATGCTCATGATGTCCTGTCTTCCCAGAACTCTTTGTCGTATAACACTTTGTGATCACAATGATGTGCCATTCACTAGAAAAATGCTTGAGAAACACATAGAAGTACTTGATTCTGCTGCAACTGATAGCAGATTACAAATTCTAGAAGTATCTTCATCAAAGAAAAAATCTCCATTATCTTACATGCTAAACACCAGATCTCACCAATACATAATGAATACCACTATTGACACATCATTACATTATGAATAAATAAGAATAAATAAAGTGAGAAACATTGAAAATTATTCCTGAGCGGCACCTGACCTCATTTCTGAAAATCAACAAAACATAACATCAAGCTTCTCCTGGCCACCTCAGCTAAACCATGATAGGTAGAGGCATTTAACTTGAATTTCCATGTTCCCTGGACTAGTTAACAAAGTATAAAATTATATATAATTTTTTATATAATTTTGTATTTCCATGGTAGACAATGTATTGAAATAGCCTGTGCAGTTTAGAGTCAATAAAAGTGAAACATTTTATTACAAAATTTTTAATATGTATTAATAATAATAATATAAGTATAAACACACATGCAATAGCCTACCATCTTCCAAAATATTATCATGATAAAATAGTGTCAACTGGAGCCCAAGGGCATTATGATTCAGGCTTTCCAAAGAATTCTGTTATGCACAGAGAGACACTTGTTTTTATACAATTTTTAAAATAGTATGCTTGTTTTGTATTATGAAAATTTAAAAAAATTTCAAGAATATTACAAATTATATTTGTGACTGAGAATTATTGACAATTGAAATCGAGTTCTAGATAATTAATATCTGTTTTCTGGGGGAAGCCCTTCAGCTCCCTGGAGCTTACTAGGCTGATATGCTAATGTCAGACTTTGGCCTCAGTCATGTGTATGGAGTTCTGTGGGCCTACCAGAGACCATGAGCCACAACCTGGCCCCCTCAGAGAGGCATGGGGCGCAATGGCCTATAGAAACCCCGTGTGGTTGGAAGCATTTTATGTCTGCCATTGACTGGGTCAGGCACCCAGAAAGGTAAGCGTCCCAAAACAAACCCCTATTCTGGGAAAAATTGCTACCACAAGCCGAACAAGTGGCTAGAACTCCCCCTAAAAGAAACGAGCAAACGACCATAACGCCACACGTCGCCACGCCGCTGTCTGGGCAGCTCCCCCCTCCTAGGGAGAGGGAAGGGGAAGACTCAGACCCACATCGCCAGCTATCCACCATCAGTTCTAAGGCTGATGCTAAAGGCTGAGGTTGTGTGCTCTGGCACCGGTGGTTGTTTCAGCACTGTACCTAGTGTGTGGTGTCTGTCTTTTAGGTGGTGCGCGAGCCGGGAGTGATTCTTCAATACTCGGGCTGCATGCGCCTAGGGTTTCCTTCCCTAGGTGCCCTGTAAGTACTGCCCTTGGGGCTTGGGAGTTCCCTTCCACAAGTTCCTTGGGTTCTGGCCCTACTAGGCCGTTTACTGCTTGGTTTTCGGCCGCTCTTTGTGTGCTAGGGTGTTCTGTCTCTTTTTTTCGCCTTGGGGTAGGGGGCAGTTTGCACTGGTAGGGGCGTAGGGTACTGTGCAGCTTGTTTTCACCAATCACAGTGGCCGGCTCTGCCCCCCCTGGGTTCGCTGTCGTCTTGCGGGGTTTTCTTTTTCATTTTGTTTGTCTGCCTGGTGGGGGGTAGGGGCCTGCCTTGGTTCCTGCCCCCTGTGTACTGAGTACTCTTCCTTCTTCCGGTGATCTCCCCCTGCTAGGTCCCCGTGAGTGTACACGTTCCGGAGGTTCAGTTCTTAGAAGGTTGCTTGGTAGACTTGGGGGCCGATTAGCAGTACCCTGCCTGGGATTAACTGGGCGTGAGTCCCTGTTGGTAAACGCTCAGGACCCTGGGAATCCCCACGGGGATGCACGGGTCCGATGAATGTGACCCTGGAGTCCCCCCCTCGCTTTGTGCGAGTTCGAGGGTTGCTCTGTCCCTTTGTCTCAGGGTGACTCTCACTGTTTTGCCTCCGTCTGCTGCCTGTGGGGTTGGTGGCACCTTCAACCCAGAGCCCTGTGAGTTTTGTTGCTTGTTTGTGGCTTGATTATCCAATCTTATGCTGACTATGCGGGTGCAGGCAGCACGGGCATTGCATGTCAAATTTCGGTGGTGGCAACACTCTAGGTTGTTTCCTCCCCGGAAGCCCCGAGGCTGCCTCGTTTTGGTTGGTGTGACGGGGCTTGGGGGTGTTGGTTGCTTCGGTTTCCTTTCATGCCCCCTTGTTTTTCCCCTGTTGCGGTCTAGTCTGGTCCCCTCCCCCCTTCCTCCCTCCCTGCATCCGGGTCTTCACTGTCTGTGGGATCAGGATGGGGCTTCGATGGTTTTGAGACTCGGCGGTCTCGAGGAATTCTCCTTCCGGGGTAGCGACGGGGACATTCGAGCCTGTTCCTCCAGCCGTGTTGTACTCCCTAGTCTGCCAGTGGGTACTTCCTTAGTACTTTTTGCGGCTGCCCTGTTTTTTTTTTGTGAGGCCAGGATTTTGAAGGAATTGCTCGGCCCTGGGGCCCTGTTGTGTGGGTTCCTGGGGCTGGAGATGGGCTCACTTGGGAGGCTTCAGGCCCCGTTGGACCCCGCCGGGGTTGTTCTACCCTCTGAGCGGAGCTTACGGTTATGATGAGTGGGGTTTTTCCTTCCCCCCCTCTCCGTACGAGTTGTTGGGCGTTGTCCCCTTCCCGTGCTCGGTTCCTTGTCCCTTGCATCCGTTAGTTCTCTCCTGTTGGTGGGTGCTCTTTTCCGTTTATTTACCCCCTTTTTTCTTGGGACAGGACTCCCCCATCATGTTCCCTTCTTCTTGGGGTTCTGCATGACTTTTGGTCTGGGGTGCGACTGTGCGTCTATGAGCCTTCGTGATTTGTGCTTGTTTCTCTGTGTTCTCGAAGGTTCGGGAAGGTTTTTCGCTACTTCCTGTGTTATTGGAACGTCTGTCGTCTTTCGGTGTGGCTTCCCTCTGGTCCTTTCTAGGGCTTGTTGGTCCTCTTTTCGGGCTTCTTCTTGGTTTTCGGTCCTGTCTCGATCTTTTGTTATTATATCTTCTCTCTGTGCTGCTTGTTTTCTTTACATTATCCTTGTCCGGGATTCCAGCCCAATTGGGTTGCCGATTAGGTTCCTTGTCATCCTTAAATAAACCGGTTATGTATGTTGCTGCTTTCTACTTTATGGCTCCTGTTCCCATGAGCTGGGCTGTTCCTGCTCCTAAGCGAATCACTCGGGTCACGACCTGTTTGGCTTTTTTTCTTGTACTGTTGTCCTAGTTGGCGCCTTCCCGCCGAGCAGGTTGTGCGGTTCGGACATCGTGTCCTGCACGTGCACTGTGGGGCTTTTGTTTTGGTCTGGGCGGTGTGCACAAGTGCTGGTGTTTTGCATCCTTTTCTTTCAGGTGCTTCGGCTCTAGCTCTTCTCGATTTTCCAGTCCGTTTCCCGTAGCTACTGGGGTGTTCTGGATTGCAGCTACGGGGAGGATGCCAGGGTTTTCCCTGTGTTATGGGTGCGGGGTGCCTCCTTTGCTTCTACCCTCACCTTCTGCATGTGCAGCTCTGGCCTTCCCCTGGGTGTGATCCCGGAATCTTCTCGGCTACGTTGTGTTGTGATACGTTCGTGCCTACGTTTTGCAGGCGAATTTCTGCGGTCTGGTGTGCGAGGCAGCTCCTCACTGTACCCATCCAGTCCCACTCATCTGCATGTCCTACCCATGCTTGAGTCAGTCCTAGGGCCCCATGTCCACCAGGTTACATGGTGCAATGGTGGTGGTGACTGTTATGAGGTACATGTTACTGTGTCAGGTTGTTATGAGGTAGCATTTTGATGCAGTTTTGTTAGTGAGGATGGGTGTTGGGGTTTGGTTGTGGCATTTTGTTTGGCCCTTGAGTGTTTCCTCCTGGGGCCTTCCTTGTTTGTCTGTGCTGTTTGTTAATATGGTCTTATCTGGGTCACTCATTCCTTGCCTGCCTTGCAGTGCCTGGCTTAGCCCTTCCAGGTACGTTGGATTCTCTGTACTCCCTAGTTGACCTCACCTAGTTGTGCTTGCTGGGATTGAGCTTTGGCTCTTTAGTCCTGCCCCTCTGTCACTCACCTACCATATATATGGCCTCTGTGCTTACCTTGTTGTGCTTGCCTAGTTGTGCTTGTGGGGGTTGAGCTCTGGGTTTTTGGTCTCTCCTTTCGCCTGTTGTTCGACTTCTGTACAGCTTCTGTACAGCTGTACAGCTTCCTGAGCCTCTTGGGCTCTCGTATCTACACTTGACGCTTTGTGTGGGGTCAGCCTCCACCACATCCTTCCTCATGCATTCCATTTGTCTCCTACTCTGACACTAGAATCCTTCTTTCTATCATTTTTATTGCTCATTAGGCATCCGTTCCACCTGTGTCCCCTAGTACGTGTGCCCCTTGTGTTCATTGGTCTCTCTTTATCTACCCTCTCATTTCCTCTGAGGGTCTTGCTTGTGGGGTTGTTGTCCCCTCTGGTTCTTCTGTCTCCCAGTGACGTGTGGTTGACTTCCCGTTGTCTCTCATCTTAGCCCATACCCCTCGTTTCAGGTGCTAGTCTGGTGGCGAACCTTGCACTTTTTTCAGTTTGGTCTTGTGTTGGGACATGACCAATGACTGTGTGTTGTTGGCATGCCTTTCGTTCCCGTTTGCTGCCTGCCTTCTTCATTCCTCAGCTTCCTTTTCTCCTGCACATTGTGTGTTTTGTTTGTGCCTTTTGGCTCTCCTGTTGCCAGGTTTTGATTTCTGGTTCCTGGCTTTCCCTGCCTGTTGGCATTTTCGGAGTCTCACAGTGTCCCTTCTCTTGAGTCTCAGTCGGGGCTGTGGTCTCCAACCTCCTGGTGAGCTCGCTGGCGTTGGAATGTTTTTCTGTCCGGCAGACGTTCCATCTCCTTCTTTGCTGGCTCGGGTTTCCGGCTCTTCCTGCTTGGTGGTCGCACCTGAGATCTTCCCGCGGCTGTGCCTCTTCCTCGGCTCATTGGTCCATGGCGGGGCTGGTTTGGCTCTGCCTCGAGTCTCTCACCTTCTGTTGGTGATCAGGTGGCTTCATTGATGGTGTCCCACCTTTGTGCTTCTTGGTGGCAGTGTGGGGTTTTGGTGGTCCTTCCTTTTTCCTTCTGTACTATCTTATATGGCTGTGTTTTGTTGGCGTGGTCTTGTCCTTCTCTTGTTGGGGTTCGGGGCCGTCATTTTGCCGCATACTGTCACCTCGTATCGTGCAGTGATGACGAAGCTGCTTCCGCTTGTGTTCAGTTTTGAGGTTACTTCTGCAGCGTTCCACAAGCTGTCTCGCACTTTGTTTCACCTCCGGCCTGCTCATGTGCCGCCTGAGCTATCCTGGTCTTTGGACAGAGTGCTCTTTTTTCTTTCTTCTCCTTGGTTTATTGAAGCTCCTTCGGTTCAGGTTTGTTTCTCGGAGGTACTTTTTCCTATTGGCATTAGCCTCTGGGGTTCGGGTCGGGTAGCTTCATGCTCTCCTCCCGTGCAGGGGTTTCTGCTCCTTCGATCAGAGCAATCATTTTGTTCATCTGCAGCCATCCCCTTCTTTTTTGGCGATGAATGAGGCTGCTGCTTTCCAGAAGGGTCCTTGGGTTGTTGATGCTTTGTTGGTCAGGCTGGGGGTGCATCATGCCTTGTGTTCAGTTGCATTCGTCTGCAGTTATTTGCACGCCGCGGCTTCTGTGTCCGGGGACGCGCTTTGGGTTGATCCAGTTTCCCCTTCTTCCCTGTTTGCGGGTTCGGGTCTCCTGGGTCGTCCGCAGGGTTATTTCATCCAGCCTGTCTGCGGTCTATCCCCGTGCCCGTGATGTCCGTAAGTTCACTGCCCTTGCTGCAGTTTTTGGCGACATGTCCTAGTCTGCTATTCGGGCGCAGTGCTTTTGGCGGTTGGACAGGGTCCTGGCTGCT